TGAAATGTGGTGTGGTTAGTTTTTAAGGGCTGGGCAATTTCATATGCTAATAAGTGGGAGGATCATTCCAACTATTGGGGAACTGCCCATTCTTTGTCTTTTGATAAATGCCTTGGAACTGTCCTGGCACCTCTAGGTGTGTCATTTTAACTGGCAGATTGAGGATCAAGGCTTAGTTGAAGTCGACTTGTCTGCCATCTTGGACCCATTTGATTTAATTGGCTTATGTTATGTTCTTGGGTTATGTCATTCTCTCAAAAGTTGTGCCTTGCCCCCTTCCCTCCTGTCTCATGCTCTTTTTGTGAACCCTGTCTGGGACCACAATGTTGCCTCTACATTCTCTGGCAGGACAATCAGAAAATAAGGAGTCCCAAAAGGGAGGGGTTATACGTATACCTATGGTTGATTCATGTTGAGGTTTGACAGAAAACAGCAAAATTCTATAAAGCAATTATCCTTCAATAAAAAAATAATTAATTTAAAAAAAGAAAAGAAAATAGCTGGCACTTGTGTGGGAAAGATGGTATAATAGGCAATCCCTCTAGAGATTCAGGCCTTCGTCTTCCATGTTTCCTACAACATGTGTAACAACAGCACTGCGCAGTGGATGCACTAGGGCGGGTGACAGGCACATAACACCTGCTAGAAGTCCATCTGTTGCTGGCATCCCTTCAGGGGCAATTGGGCCACCAGGGACAACGTTTGCCACTTTGGAGTTAGCCATGCAGGCCATTTGGGCCCACACCCTTACCACCCTTCTCCTAAAGCTGTGAAAAATGTACCCCCCTGGATCAAATCTCCACTCCGCTTTATTGAAAACCAGTCGGCTGCCTTTTGTCATTTTGTCCTTAGGCCACTTTGCCTCAACTCCTACAACCACAACCCTGCCCCTTCTGTAGGCAATACCACTCCACCCAGCCAGTAACCCACTCCTTTATCATTACTTCTGTTATTACCTAGAGTGGATCTATGACAATGAAATGTTTCTCTTATGGAGGACTAGGGGAGGAAATCAGGGACTCACATTCCCACAGAAGGGTTAAGAGAATTAGCCTTGCAGCTGTTTTGCCAGGTTCCCAGTCTCAGGGCACAGGCTTGGATTGCTTTACATCACAGTGGACAAACTGACAATGAGTTAAGATTACAACCCCTTAATCCTACCCAGCACTAGTTATGCTGGAGACACCCAACTCTAGCCCACGGGGCCCAAGAGGTCGACCTGTCTCAACCTTCCTAGAGATCTGGTCCCCAGGAGGTTGTCATACTTCAGCCTGCTTGGGGATCCACCAGTCCAGGGGTCCCAGGAAGTTGACCCTTGGAAGCTGATATGACTTGACCTGCCTGGGGATTCAATCTCCAGGAGGTTGACATGCCTCAACCTGCCTGGGGATCTGCACCCTGACCCAGGGATGCCCGGCTCCCAGGTTGCAACAGTACTGGGTAGGATAAGCTTCAAAAAGACTCACCCCTAAGGAAGTCCACCCATGGAAATAGTAGGAAGCATATTAGTTGTGGTGCTATGCCCAGTCTCAGCAACAACTCAGGAGCCCAACAAGAACCTGATTGCCTTTCTGGAAAGGCTAAAAGAGGCCCTCCAGAAGTTTACCAATCTGGACTGACACTCTTACAAGATACAGGGGATTTTAAAGGACAAATTCCTGTCCTAATATGCATCAGATATAAGGATAAAGTTTCAACAGCTATAGCAGCAGAACCCTGCTTCCACTTTAGCCAAGATGGGCCACATGGCCACCAATACCTTTTATAACAGAACATAAGAGGGAGGTCAAGGCCCAGGAAAGGGAGAGAAGGAGAGACTAGGCATGCCGAGATGTTGGCTGCCCTCCAGGGAAGCGCTATGGCAAACTCCGAGTTCTTGAAGGACAAGGCACGAGATGAATGCCTAATCTGTAGACAGATGGGACATTGGGCCAAAGAGTGTCAAAATCGTGGTAAACTCCCTAAAACAACTTGCTACAAATGCTGTCAATTGGGACACTGGGCAGTACAGTCTCAAGGTCAAGTGCCAAGCCTTCCCTCACTATGGTTCAACAGGACTGAAGTGGCCCACTCCAGCCAGCCCGCCTGTCATAGATAACCATCACAGATAGATAACCTCAGCTGGAGCCGAGGGTACAACTGAATGTGGCAGGTAGACCCAAGACTTCTTTTGGTTGACACAGGGGCTACCCACTCTATCCTGACCTACTCCAGAGACTTCTCCTCCCAAACCTATACCATTTTGGGTGCTACAGGAAAAACAATTACAAAAAGATTCACCTGAGCACTTCTTTGTTACTGGGATGGGCAAATATTTTTCCCACCAGTTTCTGGTGGTCCTTGAGTGTCCTACTCCCTTAATGGGAAGAAATATACTCACTAAGCTGGGAACCACACTTGTGATGGGAAGATTTTCAGCCCCTAGAGCCTTACAGCTTCTGGTTACTACTGAGGAACCCGTTACTCCCTCTCCAACAGGGAGGGACCAAAAACTATGGGAGGCTCCAGGAGAAAAACAACAACCTGGACAAACAAAGGGAAAAGCCCACACAAAGGGAACAAAGGAAAAATACACAGACCAGAGTGAGAACCTCAAGCGAAACAAACACACCCCCTTCCTGGCTAGCCCTGATTTGCATAGCACAGGCTCAGAGGGTGAGGAGACAAAACATTTAAAAAGAGGGAGCTAAGACAGGCTGTGGTCTCTCCTTTGGGTTCGGCCTGCCCTCAGGCCTCGAGGGTGTACTATCCTTTGTCTGTGGAATAAAACTCTGAGCTGTAATGGAGCTGTAACACTGGCCCACCATTCAAATCTTTGCTGTGGTGAGACAGAACTGAGGAAATTACACACTCTCCCAACAATTGGATCCTAGATGGTTGGGTGAAGGGAAGCAACAAAACATACATTTGCAGGACAATTTGGAAATTTTTGCCATGGATTTGCAAATATGGAATTACTATTGGTTTTCTTAAGCATAATCATATTATTGTAGTTAAGAAGGAAAGCGAAAGTTGCTCAGTTGTGTCCAACTCTTTGTGACCCCATGATCTGGAGTCTGCCAGGCTGCTCTCTCCATGGAATTCTCCAGGCAAGAATAGTGTAGTGGGTTGCTATTCCCTTCTCCTGGAGATCTTCCCAACCACGGATTGAACCCAGGTCTCTTGCAGGTGGATTCTTTACCATCTGAGCCGCCAGGGAAACCTGCAGTTAACATGAAAACATCCTTCCTTTTAGACAATGAACTATCTAGAAACAGCTTCACTTTGAACTCAATCTACCTTCAAATAGTTCAATTTAAAAACATGTGACACACACACAAGCATGAGCCCTCACACAGAGCAACTAACTGTTGAGATAATGTTAACCACTGTTGAATCAATGTGAGGGGTACACAGATGTTCTCTGTACTAGTTTTTAAAAGTTTCCCAGGTTTGAAAACTTTTAAAATAAAATGTTGAGGGGAAATGCACATCTAGACAAAGCTCTTGAGATATAATTCATAGAGTCTCAGAAAATTTTAAAGATTTAAAGTTGCGTTGAGATTTGAAAGATCAAAAGTTCATCTTTTATTTTGTTGTTGCTCAGTTGCTAAGTTCAACTCTCTGTGACCTCATGGACAGCAGAAAGCCAGGCTACCCTGCCCTTCACTACATCCCTGAATTTGTTCAAACTCATAGCTATCAAGTCGGTGATGCCATCCAACCATCTCATCCTCTGTTGCCCCCTTCTCCTCCTGCTCTCAATCTTTTCCAGCATCAGTCTTTTCTTATGAGTCAGCTCTTCACACCAGGTGACCAAACTGTTGGAGCTTCAGCTTCAGCATCAGTCTTTACAGTGAATAGTCAGGTTGATTTCCTTTAGTATTGACTGGCTTGATCTGCTTGCTCTTCCATCTTTGCTGATACTTAAATAATTTTATCTCAATAATGATATAAACAACATTACACCATACATAATGTACAAATAAGCATTAAAAAAGTATGAAAGTGTATTACTACAATATCAGAACAGAATGGGGGCTAATATTGACAAGAATTTTAACTTTCTTTACATTTTAACCAGGCTTCCCTGGTGGCTCAGAGGTTAAAGCGTCTCCCTCCAATGCGGGTTTGATCCCTGGGTTGGGAAGATCCCCTGGAGAAGGAAATGGCAACCCACTCCAGTATTCTTGTCTGGAGAATCCCACGGTCGGGGGAGACTGGTAGGCTACAGTCCACGGGGTCGCAAAGAGTCGGACACGACTGAGCGACTTCACTTCCACATTTTAACAAAAGATAGTGTATTCTCAGAAAAATGCCATAAAATTTCTTCTTCAATTTCATTTGAAATAAAAAGTCCAAAAACCCCTCTTATTGCCTCCTTTCCCACTGGTGAAATCTTTAACTGTGTCCTCGAAACCACTTTTTATTCTGTTTGTGTTCCTCTGCTGGTGGAGTTTTGTGCTATCAATGAAAACCTGGGATTCTACCTCTGGTCCTATGCACAGACCTACTATGCAAACAGTAACTAAGGAAGGCCGATAAAAGCTAATGCTTTACAAAGAAGCAGCTGACGGCCAAAAATAGTTCAATTCTTGGACTTAGAACGCATCCATTAGCACCCAAATCTCTGGCCAACCTAGGACACCAGCTCAGGTTTCGCAGTCCGTAGGCACCGCAGCGTTCCCAGAGGCAGCGGCCTCCCAGGGATGGACTTTAGGCAGGATCACGCCCCTTTCTTCTCGGCCATTCGGGATTGAGGTATCGGGTCAGCCCCCTCGGAATCTACCAATAGTTCGCGAGAGGCGGGACTAGTCCCTTTGCCCCTCTGCCAATCGAGGGTGAGGGGCGGGTCTGGGACGGCCGCCGGAAGCCGGGCCCTGGAGCGAGGAGGAGGGGCCCGCCTCTACGCTTCGACCAATTGAAAGCAAAGGGCGGTCCCCAGGGCGTGTTCCGGAAGGCGGTGTGGGCGCAGGTGCGGAGACTGGGCGGCCCGGCTGCGGCCTCCGGCGGCCGGCAGTATGGAGGACGTGAGTGCTCAGTTGCAGGTGGCGAGCGACCGGCCAGTCTCCCCCTCTTCTGATGCTGGGCGCCCTGGGCAGAGACGGGGTTGGGGGCAGCCTTGGCGGAGGGGCTCCTTATGCCGGGCTGCGGTGTGCGGGTGTGCGCCGGCGGGGTCCGCGCCTTGCTGTCCCTGGGCTTATTTTCTCGGCAGAGGAGGCAGGAGGGGCGCCTAGCCCGTGCGGTCGCGTGTCGGGTTCCGGAACTGGGGAGGCCCGCGGTGCGCGCTTGGCCTCGGGCGCGGGGAGGCTCGGGCGCAGGAGCGAGTCCACCTCCTCTTGGCCTCCGGCCTTGGCGATGAGGGCAGATCTGTCGCTATCATCACCCGGAAACACACACTGGAGGAAAACAATGTGATGTTTTGAATGGAGGACTGGTAGGAGTGAAGGGATTTTTAAATCTCCTTACTTATGGATCCAAACCAGATTATTAAGAAGCCACTGCACTAGTTACCGTGTACAGAGTGCGGCGTAACTGTAAAAGTCTTTGCTTAAGTGTATTAAAACATTTTTAGGAAAATCATGTATTTGTGCCCAGAATTAACTAGATTACACATTGACACAAAATTCTTGCTCTTGAGAAAATGCAAAGTTGATAGTTATATTAAAGCACTGATTTGAGTTAATAAATTAATAGGAATATTACTGTGCTCCTGCCACTGAATGAGATGCATCAGGCAAGACACTTGAAATACAGTTCCAGCCCTACAATACCTTAGATTCTTGTGCAAATAGTGACCATAGTTCAATTATCTTGACTAAATAAAGACCAAACAATTTCTAATGATAGGACTAAAAACCACGTTTTTTCCACTATGAGAAAGTGGAAAGCTAACTGTAACACTTGCAAGTAGATTTGAGACTCATATATTTTTTTAGAAATGGATTGTTTTTGAATTTTTAAAGGGTGAGATTCATGAATTGAAAATGTGTGGAGAAAATGAGTATCTAAATGGAAAATTAGACTCATAAAAATGTGTGCAGTAAATGCTTCTTGCTTGGTGCTAAGCTGCCTCCCGGTTCTTGGATCTGTAACTTTTAGCTTTAGGATTAGTACAATCCTAGAAATTTGTTTCACCAACAATTGAAGAGTAATGTTTCACCAATAGCTACATAGCTAGGTCACTTTAGGTATGAACAATTGCCTACCTTTGGTATTTGTGGATATGATTTTTCCCACTCAAGAGAAAGCTAAAAACTATGTGCCAGGTCTTAGGCCCAGACACCTAAATGAATTAAAAGAGGCAAAGACTTTTAGTTTGGGTTCTTTGTTTGCAAACCAATTTTGGCTACTTTAAGGAAGAAAGGGATTTATTTGAAAGGATATAGGGTAGATGAACACCTAATCCTCTGAAAGGATTCAAACAAGGGCTGCTTAAGAGATGCAGTGACAGGAGTCCTGCAGGGACTCTGGTAGGGGCGCTGGGTGGGCTTCAGCAGACTGAGTTGAGGACGTGGAGCTGAATCTGGGGATACTGAAGCAGCTTGGGTTCACCAGACAGAGAACCTAGAAAGCAGAGTGCTGTACAGAGGGAGAGCTTCAAAGAATGCAGAATCCCTATTCAGCTAAGTCCTCTTCTGTATGCCTCTGAGGTAATGCTCTGACAACTGAGGGGAAAAAAAAAAAAACCGACCCAGAAGGACTAGAAGGAGCAGTACTCTCACACAGGGCCAGGATTAGTGCTTGTTCTTCCAGCTAGACTGGAAACCTCATAATCACAGGGTATTGAGTATTCAGAAAGGTCTTGCTTCACTTGTAGGAAATATTTAGCACTAGACCAAGCATGGTATGGTCCCACCTAAGAAGCATCTTAAAAGAGTAAAGAGATCAAATTGTTTCCAGTGACAACTGAATCCAGAAAAAAGCTCAAGAATATTTACAGGAATACAAAAGTATCCAGCACCCAAAGAGTTAAATTTTTTTTCCAATGTCTGGCATCCAATCCAAAATTACCAGGCATTGCTAATTATGTGATATAATGGAGATGTTAAGTAATGTTATCATAGTAATCATTTTGCAGTATGTAAGTGTATCAAATCAACTCATGATATACAAACTTACACAATGTGACATGTTAATTATATCTCAATAAAGTGGAAAAAAGGACCAACCATGCAAAGAGGCAGGGAAATATGACATAACAAATCAATTAAAACTCATTAAAAAATGACATGAAATAGCAAACAAGGACATTTAAAAAAACTACCATAACTTTTCTATATGTTCCAAAGGTTAAAAAGACATGAGAGATATAAAATAGACCCACTCAAACTTGTAGAAATAAGAAATACAGTGTCAAAATGAAAAAAAGGCAGAGGGAACAGCATTGAGGCATCAGGGAAGGCAGCATGTTTGCAAGACAGCCGTTTGACAGGTGGGGAGGGATGAAGAGGCACAGAGATTGGAAAAATGGCCCCTGGAGGTGTTCATGGACGTTAGCTAAGGGAATACCCAGGGAGGTGGGACAGCTGCTGAGAAAGCTAGAAGAATAAAAGTCATGAAGAAAACAGAAATCATCAGAATTGCTCCTTGAGTTATGACAAACTAATCAGGAAGCTATCTAGGCATTGAATTAAAAGAAAAATGTAGCAGTGTTGAATGCCTGCTAGTGGAAATCGAGAAGCCCATCCCATATCTGGTCATGTCCCAGACTTCTGTGTTATCTTTTAATCTCAGTGCCCAGAACCCACCCTTACACCATTTGTCCCCCTCTCTACCCCATCCAAAGTAAATATATATATATAATATAATATATAAATGTTATATATATTTAATATACACACTAAATATATATTAATATCAATTAACAGTCAATTATTAATAATAGCTATAATTAAATTATATTAAATATATAATATATGTATTTATATATTATATATATATATTTACTTTGGAAGTAAATATATAAGCTAAGTCACTAAGCCATGTCCAGCTCTTCACAACCCCATGGGCTGTAGCCTGCCAGGCTCCTCTGTCCTTGGGATTTCCCAGGCAAGAATACTGGAGTAGGTTGCCGTTTCCTTTACCAGGGGATCTTCCTGACCCAGGGATCAAACCCACATCTCCTGCTTGGCAGGTGAATTCTTTACCACTGAGCCACCTGGGAAGCCTCATACACACACACACACACACACATGTATGTATGTATATATGCACACGTGTGTGTGTGGTGCTGGTGCTAAGTCATTTCAGTTGTATTGTACTCTTTGAGACGCTATGGACTCTAGCCCACCAGGCTCCTCTGTGCATAGGATTCTCCAGGTAAGTGGGTTGCCGTGCCCTCCTGCAGGAGGTCTTCCAGACCCAGGGATCCAACCCGTGTCTCTTCTGTGTCCTGCATGGCAGGTAGTTTGTTTACCACTCGAGCCACATGGCAAGCCCTATATATTTATATATATACGTACATATATGTGTGAACAGCTGATGCTAACAGCCGATTCATTGGAAAAGTCCCTGATGCTAGGAAAGATTGAGGGGAGAAGGAGAAGAGGGTGTCAGAGGATGAGATGGCTGGAAGGCATCACTGGTTTAATGGATATGAACTTGGGCAAACTTTGGGAGATGGTGAGGGACAGAGAGGCCTGGCACATTGTGGTCCACGGGGTCGCCAAGAGTTGGATACGACTGGGTGACTGAAAAACAACAGTATATATATGTATATATACACATATATATATGTGTGTGTGTGTATGTATATATATATCATTTTATATATATATATATATATATGTGTATATATATGTATAATGTTAAATCCGGAGATCAAATCAAGATGGTGGAGTAGAAGGACATGTGCTCATCTCCTCCTGTAACAGCACCAAGATCACAACTTGTTGCACAGCCATTAACAGGAGGATGCTAGAACCCACCAAAATAGATACCCTGTGTCCAAAGACAAAGGAGAGGCTGCAATGAGACAATAGAAGGGGATACAATGATGATAAAATCAAATCCCATACCTTCTGGGTGGGTGACCCACAAACTGGAGAAGAATAATACCTAAGAAGTTCTCCCTTTGTTGTGAGGGTTCTGAACTCTATGTCAGTCTTCCCAACATGGGGATCTGGGAAAGGGACTAGGAATCCAGTAGGAATCTGACTTTGCAGGCCAGCAGGATTTGATTACAGGGTTTCCACAGGACTGGAAGAAATAGATACTCCACTCTTGGAGGGCACAAGCAAACTCTTGCATGCACCAGGACTGAGGGGAAAAGAGCAGTGACCCTATAGGAGACAGAACTAGACCTACCTGCTAGTGTTGGAGGGTCTCCTGTGGAGGTGTGGGTTGTCAGTGGCTCACTGTGGGAACAGTGACACTGGCAGCAGCAGTCCTGGGAGGTGCTCCTTGGCAAGTGAGCCCTCTCGGAAGAGGCATTATACCTACCATAGAGCCTGTAGACTCCAGGGCCGGGTTGCTGCTGCTGCTGCTGCTAAGTCGCTTCAGTCATGTTTGACTCTGTGCGACCCTGTAGACGGCAGCCCACCAGGCTCCTGCATCCCTGAGATTCTCCAGGCAAGGACACTGGAGTGGGTTGCCATTTCCTTCTCCAATTCATGAAAGTGAAAAGTGAAAGGGAAGTCGCTCAGTCATGTCTGACTCTTAGCCACCCTATGGACTTCTGCCTACCAGGCTCCTCCATCCATGGGATTTTCCAGGCAAGAGTACTGGAGTTGGGTGCCATTGCCTTCTCCGAGGGCTGGGTTGCCTCAGGCCAAAATACTAGCCCCACCTGTCCCATCAGCCGATAATTGGATTAAAGTTTTACCCAGCCCACAAGAATAAGACCCAGTTTTTCCCACCACCAGTCCCTCCCATCAGCCTCATTCACCTGAGGGCAGAAGGAAGAAACAGGAAGAACTACAATCTCGAAGCCTCCAGAATGAAAACCACAATCACAAAAGTTAACTGAAATGAAAAGGCAAAGGATTATCTCCCAGATGAAAGAACAAGATAAAACCCCAGAAAAATAACTAAATGAAGTGGAGCTAGGCAGCCTTCCAGGAAAAGAATTCAAAATATTGGTAGTGTAGATGAATCAGAATCTTGGGGAAAAAATGAAGCAGATGTAAGAAATGTTCATGAAAGACCTAGAAGAACTAAAGAACAAACAAAAGCGAGATGAACAATACACTAGAAGGAATCAGTAGAAGAATAACTGAGGCAGAGGAACAGATAAGTGACCTGGAAGACAGAATGTGGAGATCGCTGTTATAAAACAGAATATAGAAAAAAAGAAAAAAGGAAAAAACTGAAGTCAGCCTAAGGGTCCTCTGGGATAACATTAAGTGCACTAACATTCACATTATAGGGGTCTCAGAAGGAGAAGAGAGAGAGAAAGGATCCAAGAAAATATTTGAAGAGATGGTTTTAGTTTAAAACTTACCTAATATGGGAAAAGAAATAGTCAACCAATCTAGGAAGTGCAGAGTCCCAGGCAGGATAAACCTGAGGAGGAATACACCAAGACACAAAGTAATCAAACTGACAGAAATTAAAAACAAAGATAGAATATTAAAAAGCAATGGGGAAAATGGCAACATACATGGGAATTCCAATAAGATTATTAGCTGATTTCTCAACAGAAACTCAACAGAAATTCCCTTCAACAGAAGAGAATGGCATGATATATTTAAAATGATGAAAGGGAGGAACCTATAACCAAGAATACTTTACCCAGTAAGACTCTTGTTCAGATTTGATGGAGAAATCAAAAGCTTTCCAGACAAGCAAAAGTTAAGAGAGTTCAGCATCACCAAACCAGCTTTACAACAAATGCTAAAGGAACTTCTCTTGGCAGGAAACACAAGAGAAGGAAAAGACCTACAAAGAATTAACACCAAACAATGAAGAAAATGGTAATAGGATCACACATATTGATAATTACCTTAAATATAAATGGGTTAAATGCACACCAAAAGACATAAACTGGCTGAGTAGATGAAAACATATGTATATATGCACTTTCTTTTACCACATCACTCTACTTAACTCTCCAAATTGTATGCAGTTATTTTATACTGTTAGGTTAATCGTGTTTCCATTATGACTTGCAATTGTAAATATCTTTTTTTGTGTATGGCTATTAAATGTGAAAACTCATAAGCATCTTTTGTTGTGAAAAAAATTATCTACTCTCTTCACAACACTCAAATATATATACATTACAGATAACTGTAGTCACTGGGCCACAAATTATGTTTCCCCAGGACTTATTTACCATCAGGTTTTTACATTTTGACTACCTTCACCTTTCCCTACTCTCCCATCCCCCTCCTGTGGCAACCACCAATCTATTTTCTGTATCTATCTTCAGTTTTTATAGATCCACATAAAAGTGAGACCATACAGTAATTGTCTTTCTCTATTTGATTTTTATCACTTGATATAATTCCTTCAAGATCCACCCATGTTGTTGCAAATGACAGGACTTCATTCTTTTTTATGACTAAATAATAATTTGTTATATAAAAATATATTAGATTGTTTCTATGTCTTTGCTATTATGAACAATGCTGTGATGAACATGGGCGTACAGATATTTCTTTGAGATAAGATTTTGTATCCTTTTGAAATATACCCAGAAGTAGATTTGCTGGGCCATATAATAGTTCTATTTTTGATTTTTTTAAGGCCCCTCCATACTGTTTTCCACAGTGGCTGTACCAATTTACTTTCCCACCATCAATGCTCAAGGGTTCCCTTTTCTCCATATCTTCTCTAGCACATATTATGTCATCATTTTGATAAAAGCCATACTGACAAGTGTGAGTTAATAGCTCATTGTTTTGATTTGTGTCTACCTGATGATTAGGGATTTTAAACATGTTTTTGTGTATCTGTTGGCCATCTGTATGTCCTCTTTGAAAAAATATCTATTTGGTTCCTTTGCCCATGTTTTAATTGAATTGTTTTTTGTTTTGTTTTTTTGCTATTGAGTTGTATGAGGCAGCATTATTATTAATAGACATCATCTTATAATGGTCAAACAAAATGTGATATATCCATATAATGAAATACCATATTCATCAATAAAAATGAACTAATTAGAAAACTGAAGTAATTACTGATACATGCCACAACACAGATGAACTCAGAAACATTCAGTATTAAGAAGCAGAACTCAGCACATTTTTTATGATTTCATTTACATGAGATGTCAAAAAAAAAAACAATCTATAAAGACAGATTAGCAGTTACCTAGGTCTAGGGGCAGAAATGGAAAGTGATTATAAATGGGCATGATTAACACATTGCAAGTGTTCTAAAATTGTTGTAATAGTTGCAGAACTATAAATATACAGACATTTATTGTATACTTAAGCTAGTATATTTTACATTATATACATTATATCTCAATAAAGGTGTTGAGTAAAGTATTTTAAAAATCAGTAAGTTTTCAGGGCTTGAAGAAAATTATTTGCTTTAATCCCATTATGTATTACCTTATTTGGAGATAAAGAATCAATATTTCCTTTACTTGTTTTAATAATTGTTATTTTTACCAATTTATTTACAGTAGTTATTAAGAGGTTTATGGTATTTTTTCAAATTTGGCTTTAGGTAGGAAGTGTGTTTTCTTGTCTGTAACTTTTGTAATGAATTTTAAAGCTTTGTAGTTAGTAGTTTTTCTTGAAAACATAATCCAGAAAGTGGTGTTTATTGCTTGCTTCCTTTTTTTGTACCCCAGGGTTCCTTGGATCTCATCCAGAGTATTGAAGATGACCCCCTTCTGGACACCCAGCATCTTCCACATCACTCTTTACATGCTCATTTTTGGCCCAGATTCCACCCTCTTCCTACAGTCATCATAGCAAATCTTCTCTTGTTGATACATGTAAGTTGGCTGGGGGAAAGTGATCCATTTGGAGGTGATGTTTTTCTAGAGGTGATGTTTCTAAAAAAAATTTATAACCTCCTCAGAGGGCAGAGGGCAGTTTGGCTGTATCTATCAGCATTTAAAGTGTGCATACTTTTTTACTCATACTTCTACTGCAAAGAATTTATTGTAGACATATTTGCAAACACATAAGGATATTGTTTATGATAGCAGTGTTGTCTGCAATATGAAGGAACTGCAAGCTACCACTGCCCAGATGTTTTGTATGTCCTTTCCGTATGAAGGAATGCTTATGTAGTATTAAAAGAGAAACTTAGAAATTTGGGGTAGATGCATATGTATTTAAACTACTTACTCTTCATGATTCATTGTTGAATGGAAAAAAATGAGGTTTACAATGGTGTGAACAGAATGTTCCTATTTGCATGTTTTAAAAGGGAGTTGAGAGAGCTTTTGGGCATGTGGGTGATATTGTGACTTACAAGAAATTTATTTGGTCATTCAGGTGATCAGAGTAGAGTTATCATGTGCATTTGGTCGTCATCCATGGTTTCTGGCTCTCAGCTCCCAAAAACACTGGGAATTTCCTGAGTAATAAGAGCAATGGGAGTAACCTTTGTTACAATTTTTGGTCTTTTGTCTTCAGGGCCTAAAATCACTTCAGTGTCATAAAGGTGAACTGGGTGTCTTGATATTCATAGCAAGCATATTTCCACCATTTCTGTTTATGTTGATGAGTTGACTTTGAAAAGCACCTAAAGGATGGAGGCAACAGCCAGGGAAACTAAGCAGGGACAGAGGTTGGAACATACAGTCCCACCCTCTGACTTCTGGGGGTGGGAAAGGGGCTGGAGGTTGAATCATTCACTGATGGCCAGTGATTTAGTCAATCAGGTGTATGTAGTGAAGCCTCCATAAAAGCTCAAAAAGAAGGGGTTCAGACAGCTTCTACGTTAGTGAGCCAGAACACTCGTGATGTGCCGTACTGCCAGACCCCAGACTCGACCAGGACAGGAGCTCCTTTGGGACCTCACCCAGTTTGTCTCTTCATTGGGCTGTTGATGTGCATCCTTTAATATCCTTTGTAATAAATTGGTAATCTGGAGAGTAAGTAGGTTTCTTGTGTTCTGTGAGCCCCTCTAGCAAACTAACTGAGCCCAAGAGGGAGTTGGTGGGGATCTTAGATTTGTAGCCAGTGGGTAAGAAACACTGGTTACAAGCTGGACTTGCAATTAGCATCTGAAATGGAGGTAGTCTTGTGGGACTGAGCCTATAATCCTAGGGAATTTGATGCCTCGGTGGATAGTGGGAGTGATTTTAGGTGGATAATGGATATACCAGGTGGATGGTGTCAGAATTGAGTTGAACTGCAGTACATGCAGCTGGTGTTAAAGGCTTGCTTACCTCCTGCTCACCCACCCCCTTGGAATTGGTACTGGAAACATTAACATTTATTCTGTATTCTGTAATAGAGTATTTCCAGAAGCAGACATGACCCTTTTAATACTAGTTGCACTGAGCACCTTAATGGAAGGGACACCTGATATGTTTTAATGTTTACCTTTTGTACTATTTGAAAGTTATTTTTACCATATCATATATTACTTTTTCAGTTATAAAAATAAACAAACAAAATGATATAGATAAATCTGTATATCCATGGCTGATTCATGTCAATGTATGACAAAAACCACTACAATATTGTAAAATAATTAGCCTCCAACTAATAAAAAATAAAAATAAAAAAAAGAAATAGCTCAGCTGGAATTAAAAAAAAAAAAAGATATAGATAAATCTATATGTTGACAGACATTTATCAATTTATTTACATCTAGGAACTAATGTTAAACAGAGAAATCAGTATAATGTTTTCCCATGTTTTATATGATAAAATTACAAATGTCTGGGGATTTTTAAAACATGTCAACCATGAGATAAATAAATCCTGGAGATCTAACGCATAACATAGTGATTATAGTCAACACTATAATATAAATTTCAAAGTTGCTCGGAAACTAAATAATTGCTCTTACTACAAAAAAGAAATGGTAATTATATAATATGGTAGAGGTGTTGGCTAAAGCTATGGTGGCCATCATTTTGCAACATATGAATGTTTAAAATCAACACATTGCACACCTTGAACTTACACAATGTTATGTTAGTTATATTCCTCAATAAAAAGAAATAAGTAAAGTTCAACATCATAAAAATAAGACACGTGTGTGAATGTTAGAGGCTTACTGGGGGCTCTGTTCCAAGTCTCTTCCTCTTTTTGATGACTGCAGTCTCAAGCACTAGGGGCTGCAATTGCTCTTTGCTGAAATGTGAAAAATCAAAAGAGGGCAAAATCTTGCCACTTCTTGGGTGTTCATGAGGAGAGTGGTTGTGGTTGAGGACTGGCCCAGCTGCCGCTCCAGTGAGGTGCGCTGTGAGATAACTGACTGCACTGAGGACAGAGGGGCACCTGTGTTCCTCATATACATCTAGTAAGTGGCCTGGTTCTGCCATGGCTTCCTAATCTCCAGACAGCAGCTGAAGCACTTCTTTCCTGGTGCCTTTTCGTGTAATTTTTATTACATAATTTTTATGTATGTGATACATACATAAATACACATGCACACAACACTTAAAAAAAATTGCCTGCCTTTGCTATAATGGCACTGATTGCCCTAATTTTAGGACTAAGATAATCTTGTGTTAAAGAACAAGAAAAATTAATGCCTTTATATGCTACTTTGTATAAAGGGGTTCAGTTAGGTTCAATGTACAGTACATTACAGTAGAGTGAGTAGGTTGACTTGCCCACTTTCGCTTTATGAGGATATGTATCTGGAGCTGCTAGTAGCAAATACTGCTCTTGACAAATCACATACATTTTAAATAGATTTATTACATGATAAGATTTCCTGCTTGGTGATAGGTGCCTGCTTGGTGATGGATGCTAATGACAGCATTTAAAATTTTCTTTAATTTGATTTTTTAAAATATTACAGAATAATACTTCCTTATTGTAACAAGTAAAACATAGTATACAAAGATATAATCTTCCCATTTCTCTGCTTCATCCCTTCTCCCTGAGTTAATAAATGTATCTCAGAGTTTGTTGTATTTCTTACAGTATCTTTTGTTAAGTTCATAGAAATATATACAAAAACATTACCACATTATAAAAAGAGGTCTCCCATTTCCAAGAAAAAAAAAAGAATGGGTACTACGGTATTTATTTCTAAACAACATTTCTTAAACTTGAACATACATCAGACACCCTGACAGGCTTATTACACCACAGGCTGCTGGCTGCTCCCCCAGAGGTGTTGATTTGGGGCCTGAGAATTTGCATTTCTAACTGGTCTGGAGACCACACTTTCAACTAGTACTTTACACCTTAGTGTTTTTAAATCTTAACATGTCATAGATATCCACCCAAACTAATACATAGAACTTCAGTTAATTCTTTTATAGCTGAATAGCATTCTATTATGTGAGTGAGTATACCTTAATTTATTCAAATGTTCTGCTATGGATACACACATATACTTGGGCAGTTTACATTTTTTTCTTTTCAAATACAGAGAAAACTGCAGTAAAATATCTTTTACTTCTGCTTTTACTTCTGAGTGACAGGGTCCTTAAGATAGGATTTCTCAGTTAAGATATTTCCAAATTATTTTCAACAGCACATCCCAGACCAGTCAGCATTTTGTAAGACTGTCTGTTTGCCCATATTTTGATACCAGTCTTTAAAATTTTGTGAATCTAATTGGACAATTATTTTAATTCTCTTAAAACTGAAATTAGAAATAAACTTTAATGCATGATGTTTATTAGTTACTTTTGAGGTGCTGAATTAATTGTTTTTAGTCTTTTTAATAAAAGAAGTGGACAGGAGACTGCATTTAACACTGAAGTACTCATCTCTAGCAGATGGGATTTAGGGTGGTTTTTTTCTTATTTCCAATTTTGTCTGTTCCCCAAATTTTCTGCAAATTTTTCTCCAGGTTATCTGTTTAAAAAGTCTGTAAAAATAGCAAAAATGTATTTTTTAATTCATAAAAAATAGGGTAGTGAAAGTCATAGGTTTAAGAGTATGTGCTGGGCATGGACATTATTGTCTCTTAAATCCGAATACCGAAGGTTAATCCTGCTGTTTCCTTCCCACCAGCTTGTGTTTGTTATTTTAGCGCTTTTAACAGGTGTGCTTTGTTCTTACCCCAATCCAATGGAGGACACGTGCCCGGGAAACTACACCAACCCGTTGAAAGTTCAGACAGTCATAATCCTTGGAAAAGTTATTTTGTGGATTCTGTATTTCCTTCTTGAACAATACGTCCAGTATCACCATTGCAAAGTAAGAAACCGAGGCTATAACAAGATCTACCGGTCAACAAGACATCTGAAAAGACTTCCGCTGATGATACACTCCACTGGTAAGTTCAGTTGTCTCCCTCAGCTCTTTGGCAGCTTGCTTGAGTGGCATAAATGACAGCAGAATAAAGTGTTTGATTTTATAATCAAATATATGTTGTTATTTCTGTGAGAGTGATGTGGCCACTAAAATTCATGTCACCTTAATGTCTTGAAATTTTTCTTGTATTTCCCTTTGAAATCTGTGTTATATAGGGGAGGAAAAATATTTTCTCTTCCCTTCTAGGTTTTTAGCTGAAATTCCACCAAAAAAAGACAGGTTAACTGGAGAAAAACAAACAGAAGTTTAATAACACTGTACCTCCTGTATACGAGGGAGATGCTTCCCTGGTGTCTCAGTGGTAAAGAACTTGTTTCCCAATGCAGGAGATGCGAGTTCAATCCTTGGGTTGGGAAGATCCCCTGGAGAAGGAAATGACAACCCATTCCAGTATGATTGCCTGGGAAATCCCATTTATAGAAGAGTCTGGCGGGCTATAGTCCATGGGGTCACAAAAGAATCAGACACAGTTCACAACTCAACAACAATATACAAGGGAGAGACCCAAGAGAACTGAGTGACTTGAAAATGGCCTAAGCCACCCACTTCAATAATATCTACAGCTAAAGACCAAAGAAGATGGGAAAGATTGCAGGGGGCAATAGTTCTGAGAGGTGACCAGGAAAAGCACAGTAAGCACTGGTGAGGTTGTTAAGCAGATTTCCATTGGTTTCTTGCCTTCTCCATGACTAGAGTTTGTAGAGAGTTAGAGGCATCATGGTATTTGTTGTTGTTCAGCCCCTCAGTCATGTCTAAACTCTTTGCGACCCCATGGACTGTAGCACACTAGGCTACACTGTCCTTCACTGTCTCCCAGAGCTCGCTGCAACTCATGTCCAGTGAGTCAGTGATGCCATCCAACCATCTCGTCCTCTGTCGTCCCCTTCTCTGCCTGCTTATTATCTTTTCCAGCATCAAGGTATTTTCTGATGTGTCGGCTCTTCACGTCAGGTGGCCAAAGTATTGGAGCTTCAGTTTGGAAGCTTCAGCTTCCTTCCAATAAATATTCAAGGTTGATTTCCTTTAGGATTGACTGGTTGGATCCCCTTGCTGTCTAAAGGACTCTCAAGAGTCTTCTCAAACACCACAGTTCAAAAGCATCAGTTCTTTGGCGCTCAGCCTTCTTTATGTCCCAACTTTCACATCCACACGTGACTACTGGAAGAATCAAACCTTTGACTATATAGACATTTGTTGGCAAAGTGATGTCTCTGCTTTTTAATATGCTATCTAGGTTTGTCATAGCTTTACTTCCAAGGAGCAAGCATCTTTTAATTTTATGGCTGCAGTCACCATTTGTAGTGATTTTGGAGCCCAGGAAAATAGTCTCTCACTGTTTCCATTTTTTCCCCCATCTATTTGCCGTGAAGTGATGGGACTGAACACCATGATCTTGGTTTTTTGAATGCTGAGTTTTAAGCCAGCTTTTTCACTCTCCTCTTTCACTCTCATCGAGAGGCTCTTTAGTTCTTCTTCACTTTCTGCCATAAGTGTGGTATCATCTGCATATCTGAGGTTACTGATATTTCTCCCTGCAATCTTGATTCCAGCTTGTGCTTCATCCAGCCCGGCATTTCACATGATGTACTCTGCATATAAATTAAATAAGCAAGGTGACAATATACAGCCTTGTATACTCCTTTCCCAATTTGGAACCAATCTGTTGTTCCATGTGCAGTTTAACTGTTGCTCCTCGACCTGCATACAGGTTTCTCAGCAGGCAGGTAAGGTGGTCTGGTATCCTCATCTCTTTAATGATTTTTCCACAGTTTGTTGTGATCCACACAGTCAAAGGCTTTAGAGTACAAAATGAAGCAGTAGGAGATGTTTTTCTGGAATTCTCTTGCTTTTCCTGTGATCCAACGGATGTTGGCAATTTGATCTCTGGTTCCGTTGCCTTTTCTAAATCCAGCTTGTCCATCTGGATGTTTTTAGTTCACATACTGTTAAAGCCTAACTTGGAGGGTTTTGAGCATGACTTTGCTAGCATGTGAAATGAGTTCAATTATGCAGTAGTTTGAGCATTCTTTGGCATTGCCCTTCTTTGAAATTAGAATGAAAACTGACCTTTTCCGGTTCTGCGGATACTGCTGAGTTTTCGAAATTTGCTGGCATATTGAGTGCAGCACTTTAACAGGATCATCTTTTAGGATTTGAAATAGCTCAGCTGGAATTCCATCACCTCCAGTAGCTTTGTTCGTAGTGATTTTTTCTAAGCCCCACTTTACTTCACATTCCAGGATGTTTGGCTCTAGGTGAGTGATCACACCAGCATGGTTATCTGGATTATTGAGATCTTTTTTGTATAGTTCTTTTGTGTATTCTTCCCACCTCTTTTTAATATCTTCTGCTTCTGTTAGGTCCATACCATTTCTGTCCTTTATTGTGCCCATCTTTGCATGAAATATTCCCTTGGTAACTCTAATTTTCTTGAAGAGATCTCTAGTCTTTGCCATTCTATTATTTTCCTCTGTTTCTTTGCTTTGTTCACTTAGGAAGGCATTCTTATCTTATCCTGGTATAGAGAGGGATATAACCTTATAAATGGAGATTTCCCTTGTAAATGTAAATGTCTCTCGTAAAAGGTAACTCCTAGTTGGTTTTCAGAACTTAATCTTTGTCTGCCACTTCTTAAAACTAATCAGCTTAAAACAACCTTTATGACAAAAAGGCATATTTTACTGTGGCACTGTCTGTCCACTTCATTGTGAGCAAGGTATGCCTGGGTGAAATGTGACTCCCCCCATTCCTCTTGGTACTAGCAGGCTTATTTATCTCAAGGAGATATAAAGCTGATGCCAGTTTATACTTGTAGGGTAAGAGAGAGTTGTTTTATTTTACATGAAGCTTCATGCTTTTTTTACCCACTCCAGTATCCTTTCCTGGGAAAGCCCATGGACAGAGGAGCCTGGCAGGCTATCGTCCATAGCATCACAAAGAGTCGGACATGACTTCATGACTAAACAATAGCATAATGAGATGAGTGCTCAGGGCTGATGCACTAGGAAGACCCAGGGGGATGGGATGGGGAGGGAGGTGGGAGGGGGGATTGGGATGGGGAACACATGTAAATCCATGGCTGAATCATGTCAATGTATGGCAAAAACCACTACAATATTGTAAAGTAATTAGCCTCCAACTAATAAAAATAAATAAAAAAAACCCCACAAACAACAGCTTAGTGCTTTTCTTGCAGTAAGATAGAGATTGTTTTATAATAAGACATATTATTTAAAACACAAATGTGGAAAACAATTTATGAATGCAAGATCAGAAAGTCCATCGAGGACTTTGAACATATGCCTAGCTGCTTTTCTTTATTGCTGCAGATGTTTTAAAGGCTTAATGGAATTAATTTGAACCCTCTTATGTATTTTTGCTTAATTGTCAAGGTTTCTACCTTTAAAAAAAAAAAAGCCCTCCGTATCGATTTGAGTCCAGAATAAATGTTTAAACATTTTGAAGCCAAATTAGAAATTTAATTTTTTCACAGAAAAACAGCTCTATAGAATTTAATGTATTTTTTTTTCTGTATTCTGTAGTGCATTTTCTTAAAAGTCAGGCTGTGAGTTCATCTGCTCAGTGAGGTTCTCAGTGGGAGTGGAGGGCCCAGGGATTGCAGAGAAAGAAGCATTGTAGTGGGATGACTGGTCCTGACACATCTCCAAGGGAGCGGTCTTTAATGTCCCCAGGGGAAGAGCTGTTTCTGCCGCCTTCTGCTAATGTGTGGGCTTCCCTGATAGCTCAGTTGATAAAGAATCCGCCTGCAATGCAGGAGACCCTGGTTCAGTTCTTGGGTTGGGAAGATCGGAGAAGGGATAAGCTACCCATTCTAATATTCTTTGGCTTCCCTTGTGGCTCAGCTGGTAAAGATTCCGCGTGCAATGCAGGAGACATGGGTTTGATCCCTGGGTTGAAAAGATCTCCTTGAGAAGGGAAAGGCTACCCACTCCAGTATTCTGGCCTGGTCCCAAAGAGTTGGACATGGCTGAGCAACGTTCACTTCACGGCTAATGTGCAATAATGTGCAGTACTTGTTTTTCGCCAGAAGATGTCACTTATGCTCTGTGCCTCTGACAAAGCAAAAGTGAAAGCCTGTCTGTATACTGACTGTTCAGTTTCTCCAGTGATGGTCTGGAGATAGTACTGTTGAGGCCCGCCAAGAGATTGTCTAATCTTTTTTTTTAACTTATGTATTTTAATTGGAGGCTAATTACTTTACAGTACTGTGGTGGTTTTGGCCATACATTGACATGAATCAGCCACAGGTGTACATGTGTCCCCCATCCTGAACCCCCCCACCTCCTCCCCCTCCCATCCCTCAGAGTTGTCCCTGTGCCACCGGCTTTGAGTGCCCTGTTTCATGCTTAGGACTTGGACTGGCGGTCTGTTTCACATGTGATAATATACATGTTTCAATACTATTCTCTCAAATCATCCCACCCTCGCCTTCTCCCACAGAGTCCAGAAGTCTGCTGTTTACAGCTGTGTCTCTTTCGCTGTCTTGCATATATGATTATTAGTACCATCTTTCTAAATTCAATACATATGCATTAATATACTGTATTGGCATTTTTCTTTCTGACTGACTTCACTCTGTATAATAGGCTCCAGTTTCATCCACCTCATTAGAACTGATTCAAATGCATTCTTTTTAATAGCTGAGTAATATCCCATTGTGTATATGTACCACAACTTTCTGATCCATTCATCTGCCGATGGACATCTAGGTTGCTTCCATATCCTAGCTATCTTTTGCCTTTCTTCTGACTTTCAAATTATTGCTATATGTATGACCCTTAACTTTTAAGTTGCTTATATAAGGACCCAGAAAATCTATAATTTGAAGAAAAAGAACATAAATCTATGAGGATATAGAACTTCCAGCTAATCTGAAGGGTGTAACCATTCCTTTTTTTGCCTATGATAGTATTTCTGGGTATTGTTTAGCTTCATCTTGACACTTGTTTTTCTCTGCGGAGAGAAAAATAAATTGATTTTACTTTATTTTGTGGAGATTGGAGAAAGGGCTTTGGTTTCCTTCCAGTAAGCTGAAAGTATTTATCTAATTTGTCTCTTCTCCTTAGTTAATCTTGAACTCTGTCAAATGTTATTAGCTACATAGCAGTTGCACGTTTAGTTGTCTTTTCATTGATTTGAAACCTTAACCCTTCCCTGAGATATGGGCAGGGTGGGTGGGGTGCCCTCACTGTCTGCGGCGCTGGCCACTCAGGAGAGTGTCTTACCTCAGCAGTCTCTGCTGCCGCCTGCGAGTTCAGCCCATGACCCGCCACCCTGCTCACCCAGGCCTTCTCAGGATGTCAAAAATCCTTTGGAAACTGTTTACTTTCCCTGCAGAGGTTTTTCCCTGTTCCTAAAGCTGTAAAGTTAAATATTCCTTGTACATAAAACTAATTCATAAACTGAGCTCTTGGTCAACATGCTAAGACACTGGCCTTTGTGAGTAAGGAGAGGCCTTATGGATTTGTGCTGGACTGTTGCTTTGAGTAGAGGGACTTCTGATACGTTATTTAAAATCATGACTCAAAATCATCCCATTGTACCAAGAAGTAAAAGGTAAGTCAAATAGGCATCTCCCCAGCCATGATCAGATTTAGATAAATGTGTTAGTTTTAGGAAAATACAAGATAAAGCACTATAGGAATGATTTCTGCCCCTAAACTTTTCTTTGATGCATGTGCATGCTAAGTCACATCCAATTCTTTGTGACCCCATGGACTGTAGCCCTCCAGTCTCCTCTGTCCACGGAATCCTCCAGACAAGAATACTGGAGTGGGTTGCCAGTTCCTTTACCAAGGGATCTTCCCAACTCAAAGATCAAACCCATGACTCCTCCAGCCTCTGAATTGGCAGGCAGATTCTTTACCACTGAGCCACCTGGGAAGCCGAAACGTTGCTTTGGTAGTCTTCATAATAAAAGTACAAGTTGAAGTTAAAATGATCTTCAAAAGTAAATAATGGATATCTGAGCAGGGGGACACAGCTTTTATTTATTGAATAATTACAGGCTAGGAATCATTCTAAGTGTTCTTCACACACAAGCTCATTTACTCCTCATAGCAGCTCTGTGAGGAAGGTACTGTCGTCCCGCATGTCACAGCCAAGTAGAAGTGTTGGATCATCTGTCCAAGCTCAGCAGCGTGTCCTGGGTTTTTCTGGACCCTTGCCCTGCCCTTGACTATGGTGCATGACCAGAAGGGGCCACTGGGTCCTCGTAGAAACTTACTCCTTGAGTTTTAAGAAAGTCCAGATTCTTCTCCATTTGTGTTATGGGCATCATTTGCTTTTGGCAGTGTTGTTTATTTGTGTTTGACTTCCATCCTCTAGCTTCCTTCTTGCTGAGTAACTGGGGGTGTGCGCATGCCCTGTGGTGCCCCTGCTGCGGTGCTGGCCGGGGCCCCGGGACCCCGGCTGCGCCCCAGCTGTGCATCTCCTCCCTGCAGGCAGCACGGCGCTCCTCCTCCTCCTCTGCCTGCAGCACTCCTTCCCTGAGCCCAGCACATGGTACCTGGACCTCATGTTGGCCATCCTGGCCCTGGAGCTGATCTGTTCCCTGACGTGCCTGCTTGTGTACACAGGTGAGCGTGACAAGGGGCCTGTTAATACTGAGAAAGGTCTTTAACTGCAGGTTGCATCCCCACCTGAAGTCCAGCTCGTTTACCTTTTTGGCAGGAAAGCTTTTCTACGTGGCTGAGACCCTATTGAGCACCCATGTCTCTCATTGCTGGCTACATCCAAACTCCTCTAATTTCAAACCACTAGGAACATACCAGCGAGTCCTATTTCTAAATTTGTGTCATCAACAAATTCTTATTAAATAGAATGAAAGCTTTTCACTAAAAAACAGAAATGATTAAAAAAAATCCATAAATTTTGCATCCTCAAAGGCAACTGAGATGTAAGTCTGGCTTTAAATTAGAAAATAACAAAATATAGGACTGTCTGGTGGTCATGTTGGTTAAGACTCTGTAACTCCCATTGCAGAGGCATGGGTTCTATCCCTCATCCAGAAAGTAAGATCCCACATGCTGGTGGGGTCAAAATCATAATACAAAATGAAAGTAAATAAGTTAATACATGAAAACTGCATTTAGACCAAACTTGTTTTTGATAAACCATTTAAGAACCCACTTCTTTCTAAATTTAGAATTTTCTGATTGCTCTGTCTGGCTGTCTTTCAAAAGTCTGAGGGGTAAAATTAAATAAGCTTCAAGTATGTTAACATGAAAAATAGGTGGAAGGATTCTTGAACAGAAAAAAATCCAAGCCTGGAAGAAATCAAGATTTCACTCCTGTTGCAATATTGACATGCACCAAAATCTGTAATACAGCTAATAATGGTAGTGTTGATCAGCAGTTGTTTTGTGACAATAAAATACCCTATCTGTCCCATTTGAAAGAGATAATTTCTTCAGTTGTGAAGGAAAAGTCACGTGGACCAAAACCCGTGTTCCATTTTGCTATTTTGTGCCTCTAATTGAGACTTCTAGGGCAAATATTGCTTTTGTTATGATACACTGAAGTGTATCACAAAAAATTTAAGGTTAATTTCCTGATACATGCATTTTTCCTCCCTATATTAAAAAGATTTAAAAGATACCTAGTTTTGGTAATGTGGATAGTAACTCTTCGTGACGTGATTCTTTGATACACTAATTCTAACCTAAACTTGACTAACTTGTCTGTAGTAAAGTAGTTAATCTCTGGAAATACAAATGGATTTTTTCATTGAGCACTGGACTGCCTCTGCAGGAAAAAATTAGGAACATGAAACTTAAAAGCTTTGTGATTTGATTAGCTCACCATTTGTTTAAAAACAAGTCAAGCTTCAAAAATTGCTGCTCAGTTACCAGTCTTCTAGCAGCCCTAATGTTCTGGCTTCAGCTCAGGAGGAAAGGAGTGTAAGGGCAGCAGGCCCATGTCCCATGTCCTGCAGTTTAGTGAGAGCTCTCCTGGGCTTATTGTAGCAAAAAGAAAGAGTGGAAGATTCTTGTTCTATGTAGAGTGCACTCATGTTGTTGCCTGGCCTGCGATCCGTAAAATGCTGACTGCATGCATCTTATTTTAAAAACCACAAACAGCAGAAACTATCATCACAACATTGTAAATCAACTATACTTCAATTTAAAAAGTGGAATATCTTCAGGAAAAAAAACAAACCTACAAAGATGAGTCTGATAGTTGGACATTTTTATATTGTTGAGCTACGTCTTTCATTTCTGCCTGTTAACTTTTATTTTAATACCCTGTTAAGTGTTATTTCTGTTCCCGAATTCAAGAAACTTAAAGTTGTTCCAAGTTTCTTCATTTATCTAGGAGTTATTATGTGGAAGACAACATTATAAGGAGATGCCATATGAACATAACTCCGATTCAGAAGCAAACCTCCTGGGGCAGTCAGGTCTCACCCTTCATCTCCAGAGTGGCATGGGACACGGTGGTTTGCTCCCTCCTCGAGATGCATTCTTTTCTCCCCGGGACCCTGCCCGCCCCCTTGGTGACCTCATCTTTTTTGCTGAACTCTCCCAGCCTGCACGGTGGAGCCCAGAGCTCAGTCCTACATGCTCTTGGATGAGGGCACTGTGCTTGTGCCACTGGGAGCCAACGGGCTGTTCATGTCTTTTTTTTTCATTGAAGTGTAGGTGATTCATGGTGTTGTGTTAGTTTCAGGTGTACAGCAAAGTGGTTCAGATATATATATGCTTTTTAAGATTCTTTTCCATTATAAGTTATTATAAGATATTGAATATAGTTCCTTATGCCATATAGTAAGTCTTCATTGTTTATTTATTTTATGTATGGTAGTGTATATCTGTTAATTCCAAACTCCTAATTTATCCCTCCCTCCCCATTTCCCCTTTGGAAATCCTAGTTTGTTTTCTGTGTCTGTGAGTCTGTTTCTGTTTTGCAAATAAGTTCATTTGCATCATATTTTAGTTTCCATATATAAGTGATATCATATATTTGTCTTTCTCTGACTTATTTCATTCGTATGATAATCACTAGATCCATCCATGTTGCTGCAAATGGCATTATTTCATTCTTTTTAGTGACTGACTAGTATTCCATTGGAGAAGGAAATGGCAACCCACTCCAGTGTTCTTGCCTGGAGAATCCCAGGGATGGAGGAGCCTGGTGGGCTGCTGTCTCTGGGGTCGCACAGAGTCAGACACAACTGAAGCTACTTAGCAGCAGCAGCAGCAGTAGTCCATTGTATATATGTATCACATCTTCTTTCTCCACTCCTCCACCAGTGAACATGTAGGTTGCTTTCATGTCTTGTCTATTGTAAACAGTGCTGCAATGAACATTGGGGTGGATGTACCCTTTCAAACCATGTTTTTCCTCCAGATATATGCCCAGGAATGGGATTGTTGTATCATATGGTAGCTCTGTTTTTAGTTTTTTAATAAACTTCCATACTGTTTCCCATAGTGGCTTCACCAATTTACATTCCAACCAACAGTGTGGGAGGGTTCCCTTTTCTCCACACCCTCTCCAGCATTTATTATTTGTAGACTTTTTGATGATGGCTATTCTGACTGATGTGAGGTGATACTTCATTATAGTTTTGATTTGCATTTCTCTATTTAGTGATGCTAAGTATCTTTTCATGTCTGTTGATCATTTTGATATCTTCTTGGAGACATGTGTATTTAGGAGTTTTGCGCATTTTTGTTTGGGTTGTTTGTTTTTTTGATGTTGAACTGTATGAGATGTTTTTATATTTTGGAAATTAATCTCTTGTTGGTGTCATGGTTTGGTTTGGAAATATTTTCTCCCATTCTTTAGGTTTTCTGTTTTGTTTATCATTTCCTTTGCTCTGCAAAAGATTTTAAGCTTAATTATGTTCCATTTGTTTAGTTTTGCTTTTATTTCCATTACTGTAAGAGATAGATCCAAAAAAAAAAATGCTGCGATTTATGTCAGGCTATGCTACCTATGTTTTCCTCTAGGAGTTTTATAGTGTCCAGCCTTACATTTAGATCTTTAAACCATTTTGAGTTTATCTTTGCATATGGTGTTGGAGAGTGTTCTAATTTTATTTTTAACTTGTAGCCATCCAGTTTTCCCAGCACCTCTTACTGAAGTTCAGACTTTCTTTTCTCCCTTGTATTCTTTTGCCTCCTTTGCCATAGATTAATTTGCCATAAGTGTATAGGTTTATTTCTGGGCTCTCTATCCTGCTTCATTGATCTATGTGTCTGTTTTTGTGTGAGGGGCTTCTCATTTCTAATTCTCTTGACCATCTCCTGAAAGTTAAGGGCTTCTTGTTATATTCCCTCACTTCGTTCTTTTGGCATCTCACTTGCTTCTGGTCCTTTCTGGAGAACCCTCTGCATATCTCCTAACCTTCCCACATTTCTCTTTAACATCATTGTTTAAGCTTCTTTTGCCTTGTTCTCAGCTGAGAGTCACATCAAAATCATCTTTGGGTCCTGGTGGTTCCATGACAGATTGAACATATGACTCAGCACATGCACTTCTGGGTGTCTGCCTACTTCTACACTTTGTGTTCCAAGTAGCATTATTTATAGTATGGATTGGGAGAATCCTTGGAGAAGGGAATGGCAACCCACTCCAGTATTCTTGCCTGGAGAATTCCATGGACAGAAGAACCTGGCAGGCTACAGCCCCTGGGATCACAAAGAGTCTGATACCACTGAGCAACTCACACACACACAGACACACACAGACACACACACACACAAAGTATAGAAACAACCCAAAAGGCATAAAGTGATGACTAGACCAACAAAAGATATTGTCTATACAGAGGATAGTGTTCAGGCACAAAAAAAGGAGTACATGAAATGAAGCACTGACATGTACAGTATGAATGAACCTTGAAAGCATTATGCCCACAGGAAAAAACAGTCATAAATATTATGATTCTATAATACTTGAAATGACCAGAACAGGCACATCTATAGAGATGTGTAAGTGTTGCCTAGTCCTAGAGGCTGGGCTACATGAAAAATGACTGCTCAAGGAAATCAAGCTTCTTTTTGGGGTGGCAAGATGTTCTAAAATTGATTGTGGAGGTAGTTGCACAACTCTTTGAATATATTGAACCATTGAATTGTACACATTAAAGGAATTACATGTGAACTGCATCATATGTAAATTATATCTCAAGGGTTATTACAGGAAAGGAAAGACTCCTGTAGAATTTTTAAAAGTTGTGCCAGGGCCTAACTCACCTCCTCTCCCCTCCACACATGAATACTCCACGCATTTCGAGCTGCAGAAATAATTCTCGAGGGCAGTCACTGCCTATCATGCAGACCTGCCTCAGCCTCTTTGTCTCCTTGTACCATCTCTGGTGGGAGTGCTCATTCCAGCCATGTCCCAGGGTTGTTATACAGTTGGAGTAGGTGCCTGGACAGTGACTGTTATTCAGACATGCAGGTGTGTAGACAGATCTGAGGTTGGGAACAGCAGCCTTGTCTTTGCAGCTGACTTCTGCCAGTGGCATTAGTCTTCTGGGGCGTCCAGAACTGGATGATTAAGACACACAAGCTTAGTTTCTCTCAGTTTTGGAGACTGGACATCTGAGATTAGGGTGTGGCAAGGATGATTCCTGAGGCCTGTCCCTTGGGATGTAGGTGGCTGCCTTCTCACTGTGTTCTCATGTGGCCTTGGCTCTGTGTAAATGCATCCCTGGCGTCTCTTCATGTATCAGATCAGCAATCCCATTTGTTTTTACCTTGATTACTTCACCAAAGGCACTGTCTCCAAGGACAGTCATGTTGGGATTAGGGCTTCAAGTTCATCAATGGCCTCCAAGTCACCAAACTCTCTGGCTCTTCTATGTGTCTTCACTTCCTGGCAGTGATCACTGATGGCTGTTTCCTGACTCTACTCCTGCCTCTCTGCATCAGCATTTCCATTCCCTTTTAGTTGATTTTTCCCATTTTTGTTTTTTCACTTATGAAGTGCTTTTTTTTTTTTTTTACATTTTATTTGAAAAGAATAGGCAATTCCTAATGTAATTTGAATAAATGGAATTAAAAAAAAATTTGTGATTGGATAACCTGATAATAATGACTTTCTTATTTTAGTGAAAATCCAAAAATTTAATAAAGCCAAGCCACAGCCTGACGTACTTGAAGAAGAGAAAATCTATGCTTACTCCAACAATATTACCTCAGAGACTGGATTCAGGTATGTGCAGAGTGAAAGATTAGAGAAAGAGAATTAAAAGTTTTTTCATTTAAAAATCTAGAGACCATTCTGATGCTTGGAGTTTAGGACTCTGCATATGTTAGAATATGTTTACAACTGTGTTTGACTGATTTCTCTCCTCTCAGCTGTGGTGAAACTAAGTCTAAAGAAAGAATCTCATTTGGGGATATTGCTTTGGCTTGTGACGTTTAAGAAAAATAACAAAATTTTCTTCAAAAAACCTGAAAAATAGTAGGGCTCCATTAGCAAAGAGACTGTTGGTGAACATATGTAACCATGGCCACCTTGGTTCTATGCAGGCCTCTCTCGAGCCTGGAGGAGGTTGTGGAGAAGCAGGGAGACATCATAGTGTACCTGAAGCGGCACAACGCGCTCCTCAGTCAGCGGCTGCTGTCCTTCTCATCCTCTGACCTCGGCTCTCAGCCAGGTGGGATTTGACAGCAATTCCAGAGGAACCAGAGTCACTTAAGACTGATCAGCTCCCTAACAAGGTGTCACAGGAGATTGCAGCTTTGCCAAGTACCATTCTACAGTTTCTGTTGGAAACCTGAATCTGATTCTCACCTGTGTGACTGTTTAATAAGTAGGACACATGGATCATTTGAAAGGCACTTTGAAGAGCCTTGATAACTCATGGAAGGTTATATCGTTTGCACATTTTGAAATTATTTAACCACTTGGTTTATCCTAGGTCAAAGTGTAGTTTAAACATCTCCTTGGCCAACATTTTTTCCATACTCTTTGAAACTTGGTGATAATTTGTCTTTTTGTAAAGAAAGTCTGACATGACAAGCTACTTAAAATGGGGTTTTGATCAAATGAGTTTTTCCCACTTTTATACAGGTGAGAGAAGTCATCATTTGTCATGATTAGTGGTTTTTTCCATGGAGCCTATGTATTTTATATGCTTCTGTGGTATTGGATATCCTTGGCCCTTATAGTTTTTATAAAGAATTTCCCACTAGGTGATTTACCTTCCAAACCCTACAGTTTTCCATCCTCCAGAAGATGTGAAGTTTACTTGGAGCAGTGTTAGGCCAACCGGTGCCGCCTGTGACTGCAGCAGGGGCTGTGCCTGGCAGCACCTGAAATGGAGAGGACTTCAGGCTTTTTCTTTCTTTCCTTTGACCCTTCTTTGAGAGATTGCGGTTTCAGTATTGACCAATTCTCATTGAATCAGTAAGTTCACTGATTTAAAAGGAGTCTTCTGTGGCTTTTAATTTGTCTGAAAGAAAAAAAGAACTTTTTTAAAATCTTGGATTATACTTAAAAATTATGGGAAAAATGTCTTATCAACTGTTTATATACAGATATTAAACATCTAATTCTTCAGATAAAATGAAGCATTTCTATGTGTAAATGGCATTTTTCCTCTATTTTTCCTGCTTTGCCCTTTTCATTAATCAGTTTGCTTTGGCGCCTTTCCATGCTGCCTCAGAAAACTTCTTGCTTGAATGCTTAACGAGAGAGGGGATATTTGTGATTAGGTATGCTGCTAAAAATCTCTTTTATATTTAGCTGAATAATGAACATTTGATTTAAAAATCTTAGAGCTATACATAACTGTTTGACAAAGAATGACCTCAGTGGGTCATCCCACACTTATGAAATGGCACACGTCTATTTCCTTCAGATACAGCCCTCTCAGAGCACTCTCAGGATTTTCTGCTGAGGTCAGGTGATTGATTGCTTGTCACCTGCAGTCAGCCCCATTGAGTCCCCAAAAGTGACAGCATTCACAAACTAAACCCAAAGTTGTATTTTTAAATTTAAAATTATATCCAGGTTTCCTGACTTTCTCTTCCTCCCTTTTTTTCTTTTTCCCTTCCTTTTAGCATTTCTCAAAGCTGTGGAAATTTGTCTCTGTGCCCTGGAGAGCTTTTGCCTTTAGGTGTTTTCCTTAAGGAAAGCACTGGTGGTAGGTGATTAATGCTCATATATATTTTTCAAATTCAGTTTGTATCTATCACCAGTTTCTAAGGTTATGAGATGAACTTTGGTTTACAGAGAAAAGTATAGTTTAAATGTTAGAACACTCAAGTTCTGATGGGATGTCTATATAATCACCAACACACTTTTCTAAACAAAATGCTGAACATTTCAAACAATAAAAGAAATTTAAAAAAGAATGAACCAAACAGTTTAAATGTTAATCATTCTGTGCACCAGAGACAATGTGCTAGCACCATGGATACAAAAATTAGTGAGACAGTCCTTGTTTAAAACTTACACTCTAAGGAGAGGACTGGGATTTCCAGGCTCTGTGCTGTGTGAGGTGATGGCAGCAACCACCAGGTACCACAGGGGCTCCAGGTCAGAGATTTCTCTGGCGGGGAAGGGGGAGGAGAAAGCTTTAGGAACTCCAGGGAAATTCCTGAGTAAACAAGAAGTGCGATAGCTACTGAGGACCATACGTGCTGTGTATAACTTGAGCCCAAAGTGTGAGGCAGGACTGGGAGGAGGAACAACCAAGATTCTGGGGACCCTGACCCTGCGCTGGAATGGGTCCCACTGAAGAGTTCTAGGCAGGGAAGTGGCAATTGGTTTTAGTTTCAGGAGAATCAGACTGTCAGGGTGGAATGGGAAAATGGGTGGCAGAGTCCATGGTGCTGAATGAACAAAGGCAGGTGGAGTAACATTTTATCATGTGTATGTATGTTTATATCTGTGATGTACATTTTATAGTGCGTGTGTATGTTTATAGCTGTGATGTATTTCTATATTGTTAATTTGAAAATTGTGTTTCAAATGACAGTAGCATCATGACTTACTGCATTTCTTTGAATATTAATGAGGTTGACTTTTTAAATTTTCATTCTTTGTCCTTTTACAAATCTTTTATGATGTACATGTGTAAGTCTTTTGCTTATTATTCTCCTAGGATATTCTTTTTCTTAACAAACATGATCTGCCTTTCTATATCAGGATAGTCTTCAGTTTATAGTTGTTGGGAATGTTTTCTAATTTGTTTGGGGTTCTTTTGCCATGAACTCTTCAACTACAGCCTGGATTCTGTCCCTGCAACGTTGGTGGGACTGAACAAATAGATCCCTAAAGTACATTGGGTGAAAGCCAAGAGTATCTTGAGGGAATTTTAATATACCCAGACTTGGGAATTCCCTGGAGTTCCAATGATTAGGGCTGCTCTGCGCTTTCACTGCTGAGGGCCCAGATTTAATCCCTGATCAGGGAAGGAAGATGCAAGCTGTACAGCAAGGCCAAATATATATGTATACACACACACATACAGGCTTCTGCTGGAGGCCTTTTTCTTTTTCCAGAGATTCAAACAGAGGTCTTATATGAATTGAGTTAATTATTTTCCCTTTTTTCTTTAAGACAGGGTTCTCTATCCTTGGCGCTATGGGCATTTTGAGTTGTATAATCTTTGTTTCAGGGACTGTCCTGTGCATCATAGGATGTTTAGCAGTATGACTACTGGGATGCCTGTAGCAACCTCTACTTGTGACAACCATAAGTGTCTCCATGTAACAGCAGGATGAGCACAGCCCTTAGCAGGCAGCCATTGCTGTGCCTTATTACTCCGCACCCTGTTACTAGGCAACAGGTCTTGCTCAGCTGTTGGCTGGTACCTCAGTAGGCCCTGCCCACAAGCAAGCATCAATGAACGGCTGTTAGTTGCCCTGTCCAGCTATTGGTCAGCACCACAGTGGGCTCTGCCCACAAGGAACTGTCAATGAGGGAACATTAGGGAAGCGATTCAGCCAGGGTCAGTGGTGTGGTGGTCACCAGGTGGAGAGTGAGGTAAGAGGCAGATTCAGGCTTCTCCTGGAGGCCCTCCAGCTTACTCAGCCTTGGGCCAACGGGTGAGCTGGCGGGCCCAGGGAGCAGGCTGGACACTCTGTCCTGCAGGGCTCCAGAGCCCTCACTCAGGCCCTCCATGCCGAGGCCCAGGCCTTGAGGCAGCAGTGAACCTGTCTGTGCCCTAATAGCAGTGTCCGTTTGTCTGGGTCACAGTCTGTGAGACCTGGTCTCCCCTGCTCGGGCAGCCTGAGGAGACTGAGGGCCAGTTTGGTCGGATGCCCGATCAGGGGTGACAGGTGGGCAGTGTGCGAGCCTGGCCCTGAGGAGCTGTCGCCGAGCTCTGCCTCCTCTTAGCCAGGACTGGGACCTTGGAGGGTGAAAGTTGTGCCTTGGGACTTTGCCCTTTCTTGTCAGGACGGAGTAACATTATTCTGTTAATAATAAACGAATAACATTCATTTGGTGGAGATTTACAGGAAAATTGTTACCGGACCATGACCTGACCCCAAGAACAAAGGATCTGACACCAAGAAGTTTGCAACAACTAACTGCCTGTCCCTTAATTTTTGCTTTTAAAGGGGCTTGCTAAAAGCTTTCGGTAACTTTGTGGTTCTTAGGGTGTGAGCCACCTATCTCCCTGTATGAATCTGTAATAAACCTTTCTCTGTTCCACACTCTAATGTTTTAGTATTGATGGGTCTTACTGTGTATCAGGCATACAGACTTGTGATTCTGTAACATCTGTACACAGGCATTTCATTTCATTTAATACTTACATTTTGTGAGAGCTAATGTGCACCAGGAAGTGTTGTAGGTGTTGGCAACAGGGATCAGTCAGACAGAGATGGTTTCTGTGGTCATGGAACCTACATTCTGGGGTGCAGTTGGGAGGAGTAAGATAGAGGGAGGGTGGAAGTGAACGCAGACAAACAAGTCAGTATCTGGTTTGAAGAATACACTTCTTTTTTTGTAAATCAGGCCTCGTGGAGATTTTAATGTTAATATGACTTGTGGAAAGAATTTAGCTTCAGTATCCTATAAACATTCAGAAAACTGAATGGTAGAGGAAATGAACTTTATGTCTGCTTCATACTTTTTACAGAAGACACCAGTATTTAGTGGTCTTACAGCCTGATCAGAAATGCTCATGTGAACCTTGAATACAAAACTCCCATCTGGCAGCCTCTTGAATTCTTGGGGAAACAAACCTCAAATATATGACAGTCACAAATCATAAAAATCTCAAGACATTTCCTAGGTTTCCTAAAGAAGATTGTAGTAAACATGTCTCTAAATTGTCCCCTCCCATTCTTTCTGTTCGGACTCAGCTTTTTTACCCAGCTACTCTACTGGAACTTCTTATCAAGCGAAGGGTAGGATATCTCTTACCTGGGACTGAGTGCACCTCCTCGGCCTGCCTGCCGTGGTCCTCTCAGTTCCCCGCTCTCTCCTCACTTGATTTTCTTTACTCAGGCTTCCAGGACACTGCAACATGCTAATTTTCCTTTTCACTGGCTTCCTGTCCTATCTCCTTTGCAGGCTACTTTTCTTGATGTTAGTGTCTCCTGGTCCTCTTTCTTCTCCATCAGTTCTTGCTCTTGCTGACCTCATGGCTATAGCAAAGTGTACAAGCTGGCCCCTTCCAGATGTGTCCTCCCTGACCTCCAGATGCA